CGGGCCGTCGGGTGGCCGAGGAGGGGGTGAGCGGCGGGGGCAGGCAGGGCGTTGCGCAGGCCCCTGCCGGGGGCGTCGTCACCCCCGCCTGAGGGGCTGAGCGATGAGGTGAAGCGGGGCGGGGGGAGCGGTGGCGGTTCGGGAGGTCGCCCGGTGCCCGGCCGTACCCGTGACCATCCCCGGCTGGGAGTAGCAGGGCCTGGTCCGGCTCCTCGCCTTGGGGGAGGGGAAACTCGGGAGGGCTGATACTGGGAGGAACTGGGGATCGCGAAACCGAACCGGCACCGCGACGGGGCCGACTCCAGCAGCCGCGATGGAGCCGGTCTTTGAAGCGGAGTTGCGGGTAACGAGTTACCGGTGTCTTAACTGATGCCCCTGAGGCTCCAGCCCTTAGGGCGTCGCGGGGGATGCGGAGGGGAGCTCTGCGGCCCTCCCTGTCTCCTGCACGCCGCTGCTGCTGGAAGGGAGGTGAGCGGACGCAGGGCTTGAGGGGTTGGGTACCGTAGGAGAAAACCCAGTGTCGCAGTCGCTAATTGGGATGCCCTCCGGTCTGATCTTAAGCATTTCTGTGGAAGCGTGGGTAACAGAGTTATGGACCAATAAACTCTGTGACTGCCGAATAAACTTACATGCGAGCAAGCGTGCTAAAATACCCGTTGTTTTGCTCTTTCATGTGAATAACTTCACCGTCACGCAGATCAGTGCACACCATTCGATAACGGATAAAAATCCGTTAAAACATAAATTACTCCTAACAATTTGGGAAGTTGAACAGAGTGACACCACAGATGACTAATGAAAATCTCTGCTCAACTTTCTGCTGTGGTTCGTGACAGAAGGTAGTGTAATGTTCTCATTGACTGCACTACTGGGAACATCGTTTGTGGGGAAAAAATTGCACATGTGTTGAGAAAGCTAGAAAGATTTGCTAAGGAACAGCAAGAAAAAGAGTTTGTGTTCTTTGTATCTTCGTTTCTATGGTGAAAGGAGTTCATGAACCAATAAGCAGGTAGTGCCTCACAAAAAGAAAGTAGGAAAGTAAAAGAAGGGGAGAAAATGTTTGCTTACGCAAGGTGTGATTACCTTTGTACATTTCTGTCAGTAGGAAATAATTTTAGCCAAGAAACCAATGTTATAACAACCAAGTGTTATAAGAAAACCCCATTTAAACACGTGGGTAAGATGTAGGAAAAATAACTAATGCAAATTTGTGTTTCTGGTTTTGAGGCAGTGGTAAGATACTGCACTAGATGGATCACAACTCAGCCAGCATGGCAATCTGTGTGTTTCTAACAGCCCGGACTAGGCAATCTGTAATCTAGAGGGGTGATTCCCAATTGGTGAGCCATGCATTATTGGTGAGGTCTAAAATTGGGTTTCAGTGAATAAAGTTTACATACTAATTAGTTTAGACCCTGGCTGAGGCTGCTGGAGCTGGAAATGGGAATGGTGAATGAGTAAGGGGCATTGCTGGAGCTGGAAGGAGTAGTGGTGAAGAGGAGTGCTTCCCGGGTCCTTCCTCTCCTGCACATACCAGGTGCTTGTCATCCAAGCAGTGCATGGTGAGGACTGCAAGGAGGGAGGACAGCAGTTCAGCTCGGGATGCAGTGGCAGGCAGGGCCTGGGAGGTTTGAAAGATCTCGGAAGGCAGCAGCGTCATCGAGAGTGGGAAGATGAAGAGATGAAAGCAGAAACATAGAAGGAAGAGGCAGTTAACTGTAGTTAGAAAGGTTGAAAATCACTGCCCTACGGGGACGGTAAAACCCTTTCTGGTTTGCTTCAGTCAGAACAAGAGAGTAAAAATTCTTTGGCTTTTAGAACATGTTGCAGATGTTAAGCCGAGGTTTTCCTGTGTCTTCATGAAAGGGCCTTTTTTTATGGGAGGCTTTTGAGTATATAAACAGCAGATCGTACTTTATACATATTAAAGAAAATAAGTGGAATTCTGGATAAATAACTGATACTATTTCTTTATTTCTTAGATATCCAGATTGTTACAAAAGGATGCAGAGCAGGAATCCCAAATGAGAGCTGAAATTCAGAACATGAAGCAAGAACTCTCAACCATTAGTATGATGGATGAGTTTGCTAGATATGCCCGTCTGGAAAGAAAGATTAACAAAATGACCGACAAGCTTAAAACTCATGGTAGAGTGCAATGTTTATTCCCTTTTCTAGTTTCTGGAAAACATTTTGTCAAGAGTGTTTTCAATTTTAAGTATATTTCTCCTTCAACTTTTTTCCTCCCCCTCTTACCCATTTCCAGTGTTCCCTTCCATTTTTTCTCTCTTTCTTTTTTCTTTAAAGTTTTTTGAGAGCTTGCTTTTGTCTTTCAATTGCACATAGTTCTGCATACACTGATAAGGGAGTGATTTAGATATAAAATTTTTCTTACAAGGAGTTTCCTGGGTTTCACTGTGTAATTATTTACTCTTTTTCCATAATGCTCATCACTGAATCATGTTTTGAATAAGTCGAGGAAGTCCTCTGCTGCGTATCTTCACTGCAAAAGGTTGCATTGCTTGGTTGGGGCTGTTTGGTTAGTGTACTACAAAACGCTAGAGAGAAACTGTTGATCCATAAGATAACCAGATGAGATCTTTCCTGTCATTTTGAAATCCTGTTAGGTCTTACGCAGTAGCTTGTGCGATAAAGCTGTAGTGCTTTGCCTCGATTAGGATTTTATAGTATTATAGTCCCTCATCTTGTGGTAGAAAGTACACATAAACCTTTGGCACCAGAGCTTTTGCTCTTGTCTTTGCCCAAACTCACTAACTGATCCTAACAGGATAGGAGACTACTTGCTTTGTCTGCCTCCTCTGTGCAGAATGGTTGAATGTTTATAGGCTCCTTGCTTGGAGAAAGGACAACATTTACAACTGGCAGTTTTGGATTGCTTTCAGTAGTATAATTCTTAATCCAATAATTTCAATTAAATGAGATCTGGGTAGTTTACTTAGCAATCAACAATGTTTTAGAAAACTTTAGGCCACTGTTATGTTAGAAGTTGTGCTGTCTTCACTGGGCTGCTTTATATTGGTCTGAGGTACTGTAACAGAAGAAAAATAGGCATAACCAAGATTCATTCAGTGAAGGAACAGTCTTAACTGTGTTCCTGAATGAAATAAGGCAAAAAGTGCATCTGCGAAAGCCATCATTGTCCCCTTTTAGGAAAGGGAAAAATTTACTTTATGCTTCGTCTAAAGCAGGGTCTTAAATTAGTAACGACAGTGACTGTTCTCATTTGGGAATAGCGTTCTTGATTATATGTAGCATTTCTCGGTCTAGGATATCAGTGTTTTGCAACTTTTCATAGTAACGTTAATAAGAAACTACGGTGTGATACAGACCTAGCACTTTCTTGCAGAAGGGTACTTTCAATATAGCTATGAGTCATTTGAAAAGATATTTTTAAATAGTGTAATGTCCTGATTGGAAGAGTGAAATATTAATAAATTACTAGTTTTATGTAAGTATAATTCGCTATAATAAATAATGCAGAGTAATTTTTTTTTCTTTTAACAGTGAAAGCACGAACTGCCCAATTAGCCAAAATAAAGTGGGTTATAAATATTGTATTCTACATCTTACAAGTAAGTAAATATTTTATTATGGATACAAATTACTAAACCAAATCCTTAGTACTGTTACAATTCTCTCCTGCGTTTATTGGCTGGTGATTAGTCACACAGGTGTTTGACATACCAGTGGCACAGTGCATGCCAAACTGAAAGAGCTTCTTGAAGTAGAAGAGAGAGATGTTGCTGATAAGGCCTGGTGGTTGGGGATGGAGGGAGTTTTGAGTCTCACTTTAGCTTTGCGTTTCTGGTTTTGAGATGACAAAGTAGGAGTTTGTCTTAACTCTTTAATCACTGGGGTTTTTTTAATTTATACATGGCACTGGACCCAGGAAAGTTCCAATACATACAAATATATTTTACTTACGGTTTTGGAAACAAAATACGCTTTTGCTGAGGATGCAGATGTCTGCTTACAGCTGCCACACATTTCCCCATGGTGCCTCATCAGGTTGTCTCTGTAGTTCAGACTTGATGCCAAAGAATTGTCTGCTAATAAAGATGACAGTGGTCAACCTGAAGATGTCTTTAGGGTAATGTTAGAGTGAGTTGGATTCCTAGCAGGCAGGGATTATGGCTAAAAAGAGTCATCAGAATTTAACAATTACTATTGCTATATTTGTCTATGCTAGGTTGGAACCAGGGTCTCAAAAGAAAGCAGTATTTGCCAACGTCTCACTGCTACCTCTTAATGTTGTGTATAAATTTAAGGTCATACCGAGTTTAAAAATATTTTGAACTTTCTTAAGAACAATGTAAATTAACAAAGAAACTATTCCCTTTAATCAGAATTTGTTACTTACTGGTTCAGAATAGCAGCGAAAACGTACTTTGATGTGTATTGTTATCCAAGCTAATAAAAATTTCAATTCTAGGCTGCCTTGATGATCTCTCTGATTTGGAAGTACTATTCTGAGCCGGTTACGGTGCTTCCAAGCAAATGGCTTGCTCCGCTGGAGCGCTTGGTAGCCTTTCCTACCGGGGTGGCAGGTAAGGACTGCACATTGGAAAAAAATACATTTCCCAAGCCCATGAGGATGCTAACAATGTAGTGACAAAGAGCATACATAGATTAAAAGCACTGCTTCTGTATGTTTCTTCTAACTCCCGTAACACGAGGAGGAGTTTCAAACATTTGGTCAGCTGTTTCCTATGTATTCAGTTCTTGTTTATTTAACTGACAGTGAAATGGGCTCTTTGTCATTTTTATTTCTTCTCAAACAGAGCAGCTTTATCTGTATGGAATAGACCCTGGAGAAGATTTCAAATCAGAAATATTTTTATATTAAGGAGTCCACTGAAATAGTAGAATTGGGTTTAAAAATGGGCAGATACTTCATAGGTCTGTATTGCTTACATAAACTGCTGGGGCTTCATAGTAGTGTAACTCCAGAGTGATTTAGGTATGCTCTCTTGGCATTTTGTCTTGTCTGTTCCCACCCTTTTTCCCATCACAGTTCTGTTGCATTTTTACCTACTTAAATCCTTTTCTTTTGAGCAGTTTAATGAATTAATGATCAGAACGATATCACAGGTTATAGACACCTGTTTGTGAGTGAAAAGTGCGCTGGCTCTATGCTAACGGGATAAGTAGACAGGCAGAATGACAGGACAAAGTAGTGTGGAAATTTACCTTCAAGCTAAAATGCTGCTGGTGAATCTTCATATTAGGCTTCAAAGTCCTAACTGCCATAGAAGGTATTCCAAAATATGTTGTTGGAATTGTATGTCATTGTATCTTTAATAGCTCTCTAGAGAATGATTGATATCCAGCATGCTTACTGGACAAGAGAAGAGTCTGCTTCTGGAGGAATAGTCCTTGGAGGACATTTATTTAAATAGCATTTGAAGGGATTTTAAAAAGTTCACATCTGTGTCTGCCTTCAAATCTCCTGCTTTGTCTTGGCTGATAATCACAGTAAAGAGATCGCTTTTGAATTCTAGGCAATAAACACAAAAATGTCTAAAAATCACCAAAAAGGTAGTTTCTTCACATGTGTGCCATGAATAGCTATGTATTCCGTGATACTATGTAGCATGATTCTATGCAGTTTGCAATATGGATGTGCTGTGTATTACAGTCAGGGCACACCCTCTATTCCATCATACCAGTACAAATTTCTGTGCCGCTAGTTGGAATGACAGGACCCTGTAAAACAGCAGTGTGGGGCATCTGGGTCAGTAGCGAAGGTCTCAGTAGCTTTTTTCTATATAGCTGTATGGGGAGCAAGGGAAAAGGAGAGAAGTATGGATTTCATACTTTTTAAAAGACCAATTTAAATTTCCTAGGAAATTTACTTTGGCTGATATTCACATTATTTGTTACTCTTTTTCCCCACACAGTCTTCAGCTTTTCTTGGGACCAGCATGGAGTTAGCTGCCATGCCTTGAAGAGAGACATTTGTATATAAAAAGAAAGCTGTTTTGTTCCTGTTCACCTCATAACTCTTACGTTTCATTTTTTACACTTCCAAAGTTGTTTTCAGATGCATGTATGCTTCAGGGTTGCTGATGCAATGACTTAAATCGTGTTTTATATCTCTTTCAGGTGGTGTTGGAATTACATGTTGGCTTGTGGTTTGTAATAAAGTTGTAGCTATCATGCTACACCCTTTCAGCTGAAGGAATCCCAGTAATCCACAGAGTCCTCAACTACATTTTCATTATTGCTGTTTTAAATGAATTAAAAAAAAAAACAAAAACAAAAAGAAGGAACGGTTGTCTTTCATGAGACTAGGTCTGAGATAATCTTTGTTACTTCGTTTACATCTGATTCATGGCAGAACCATAAGAATTTGTCATGGCATATATTCACCAAAATTGGAACATGTCGGATTTGTATTTTTAAGTTTGAAATGCACTGGCATAAGGAATTACTTGGGGAGCTTTGCTCTTTCTTTGCTGTATAATATGGTAGTTTCACCCAAAGGTGGGATTATATTTGGTGCAAGTGGTACTAGAGGATAGAGGTAGGTGGTTTGGTTGGCTTAGGGTAGAACAGAATTAGTTTCCTCCTTGCTATTTTTTACAACAGAATTGGTGTATTCTTGGGCTGTCTTAGAAAATGCGTTATTGGTATATACACGGAATCAAGATTTTATCTCCTGAGACTCAGTTGCCTAGTGCAGGATGGCTGGATACTTTTTCCTCCCTGACTTTTAAAACTCATTGAACACTTGAATTTTTTCCTACTTTTATTGATAACTGACCTTTCCTTCCTTGACATTTTTTCTGCTTCCCAAACTGAGTGAGGATCACTGAAACTGGTTTTTTGCATGTTTTGGGAGGAAAGATCTGGCCAACATTCTGAAGCTCTATGTTAGTAAAGAGAAAGTAGAAGACAGTGCTGTTCCTTCAGAGGACTACATTTCTAAGGGGGTTAGCATACATTAATGACAATCCAGTATAGCCCAAAACCGCTATGTAAATGTAAAAAGGCAAATTAGTGATTTAAATGTCTGAAGTAGTAACAGAATGGTAGGAAGCAGGAGGAGGAGAGAAAACAATTTTCTGTTTTGGAGTAAATCCTTCTTGCTGTATTTAGATACAGGAAAGAGCCACAATATTTTGCATTTAAAGGAGGACAGAATTCTTCCTAGTACTGTGCCTGTAGAGCAATGACAAAGTTGCATTATCTTCCACGTTTTTTTATATGTGAGCCTGAACAAAGCTCTAGGGGACACCTCTCCCTCTTTTGCTGGGCTTTGGTGGTTCTGGCTCAGCTTCCCACTCTGTACAGTGGAATGCATCTGTTATGTTAGTTCAGGTCCTTTGCCTTCCTGCAGGAAGGAAGGGGCTGGGGCCCCTCCATAATTAGCACTGCATTTAGAAATCAGTTCAGAAGGTCATGGTATATTGTGTGTATGTATGCATGAAATGTGTTTGGTTTTTTTAAATGTTAATTTAAAAAAAAAAATTGGGTTTGTATTAGGGATTACATTTAGCCAACATGAAAATAGATGCATTAAATATCAAGAAAAAAAATGTTGTGATTGAATGTTATGTATATTTGTGTTTTTATTAACAAAATAAAGCTTTTCAACCCATCTTGGGTTTTCTAATCCATTATTCATTGCATTGATTAACAATCAATGTTAACTACAGTTTTCCTAACAAGAAAAAAAAAACCAAAACCCAAACCAACACCCCCTACCCCCCTCCCATGTTCTTGCATAAGGAGATACTGCTGGATCAACAGGACTCTTTTTTTTTTTTTTTTAAATTATTTAACTATGCCTTTGACATATTTCCAAATCTAAAGATGTGGCTATTGATATTTCTACTTAGCTTGTTACAGACTTTTAACACAGTGAAGTCAAGAAAAGCAGCATCATTTAAAATCTTCTCAGTGGCATTTGCTGTTTATCCACACTGAGCATGGGGTCATCGGATACGCAGTTTGTTGGCTGCTCTAGTCAAACATTTGCGTGAGTAAGGGCAAAAAGGCTTTTGGTCACCCAGTCAGTACAAACAGGAGTGTTGGATTATGTATGCTTGTTTGCTCTTAGCTTTGGGACAGCAGTAAAGGCATTGCAGAAGTATCGAGAGTTTATAGAGGAGAAACACCTACTTTTCTGACTGCACAAAGTCATTTTGAAACCTGTGCACTGAACAGCTTAAGCGCTACTTCAAGAAAAACCTTCAAAATTTTGAAAAGAAATACACTGCAAGTAGGTTCAGATCTAAATGTCTTAATCACTTTAAAAGCTTTTGCAGTATAATTTTTTTTAAGTTTTTTTTAAGTGCTACTGCCTTTTAAAATCAATAGAATACACATAATTTTCCCTAACTTCACAACATTTTAGCAAGTGTTTCATTAATTACTATGAGGAACAAAATGTAATCCTCCTACCCTCACTTACATAACCTTAAACACAGGATTTTTAAAGGCTTTTTGAGAACTGGATATGCCTGACTTCTCCAAAACAATAGTTTACTCTTGCACATTCATCTTTGTATGTCAGCTGTGGAAGTTACCAGGCAAACTGCTTTGATAAATTCTAACGGTGGAAAAGAATGAAGCTTTAGAGCTTTATAATGCTAGTGAAAACAATGTAATAGCGAATTATTTTTATTATGTGTGAATTCTGGAAGCTATTTCAGGAGTGAAGAAAATAAAAATTATTTTCTTTTATTGCATTGTTGGTACTAACCCAATAATGAACCCTATGAAAGCAGTTTGCTCACTTCAGCTAGCTGACAAATAATCAGCTTCAAAATTCAAACTGCGGAGAGAATGCAAAAAAAAAAGGAAATTACAAAACAAGGATGTAACTTGGGACACCTGATAGCAGGTAAAAATGTTGTAATTGTTAAGGCCCTCTTAGTAAGACGCATATGCGTGCACATGCATGGACACAGACCAAGAACTGAAAAATGTTCTGTGACAACTGATTTGACTATCATTTTGGAAAAATCATTGAAAGAAATTGTCAGTATTTGTAAGATTTAATATGCATTTAATGAAGGTAAAAACATTGTTTTTTAAAAAAATGTTTTAAATTACCCATATTTCTAGAATAAAGATAAGTTGATGTACTTAACTAACCAAATAAAATAATCAGTTTGTGTATTCTCATAAGGTTATTTGTAACGATTTCATTAGTGTTACGTGCTTTACACTATAAACTAGTAGTGGTGGTTTGAAATTTGGCTTGTGTAATCCTGCATCCTTTCACTTCCCTTTCTTCATTCCTCTCATGTTAGAACTTGAATGGTTGTCTCTTCAAACACAGCCTGGTCCAGAGAGTTCTTTCATAAGACTTTTTTTCCTTTCAGCGAATGTCATGTGAGCGCAGCCTTCTGCTTCAGTGGAACTGTCCTTCTGCCTTGTTTTGGTAACTTTACCAAAAGATGGTTCATATAGCCCAAAGGAATTTTTCATTTTTGATTCAGCTGGTTCACTGCAGTCCTGACCTGCATGTCTATGGTTGCAAAGACTGCCTTTTTTTGATTTTGTACCTGATGTAAGAAGCCCACGATGCAAATTCTCAGTGGCTTCTGAGAATATGGGGGTTTTTTTCAGCCTAATGGGTGTTTTGTTTCTTGGACCTGGAGTAACACATTTAGTCCCTGCCTTCTCGCTGTTATTCAGCTGTTCATCTGGCTTTTTTTCTTCTTTTTCATATTCTTCCACTGCATCTTCCTCTTGACTCTTCTCTTTTACATTGTCACTTACAGGCGTTTGTTCAGTTTTCATCATTTTTTTCAGCTCCCGTTTAAGCAAATCTGACTCTTCCATAAATTCCAGACAAGTGTATTCTTCCATCAGTAGTCTGCCCTCCCTTAAATACTCTAAAATGAAATACTGTGGGTTTTAGGAATGTTCTTAAATTGCCTAGGAACATAAAGAGTCATGAAGCATTAATGACAGCAAGTTTCACTTCATTGCTTAAGTTGTTACTGTTGATGGTATTTCAGTCTTGAGGGTTATAATAATGCTATTTACTAATAAATATAACAGGATGGGGCAAGATTTAAGCAAGATCATTGTGCCATTGAATCCAGGTAAATATCTTTATTTTTACCTTTTTCATTATGTTTAATTTATTACATGAACTAGCATGCAAATACAATCAGTAACGGATAAATATATAGGGCCAGAAAAGTCCTGTACAATGCAATGGAGAAACCACATGAGATCTGAACTCCAGTTGTAATTTTCTTGCTTTTAAATGGAACTTAAGTATATGTATGATTTTCTTTCCCTTAATTGACAACACAGTTGCTTGTTGCATGGAGCAGAATACACTGCAACTCTCTAACCTATAAATGAGTAGAAAAAGGTGTGTGTATACTGAATGCCTAAATACATTTGTCTGCTGCAGGGGACAAACTGTAATAGGTTCTGTGCTTTGGAGAGACACAAAGAGTACCTTCAAAATGAGGCAGAGTACAAGCATAAAGGAGAAGTATGAAATTGCAGTTACTAAAACAGCTAAATAAGACTTCAATAATTAGGTCTAATCTTGACAGTGGGAGAAAGCCGTAATAGAGTCTGGCAAACAGTGAGGAGAGAGATTCACAGGCAGAATCAGAAGACCTGTGTTTTCTGTCAGTTTTAAAAGGGGATTTCAAAGACAAATGGTGACTTTGGTTATCTGGTGGGGTCTGGAAAGGCTGCAGGCTGAAAAGGCAGAATACAAAACACAGGAGTTAACGCATTCCAGATTACTAGCTCTGTTACTGATCTAGTAAGTGACCTCAGCAACCCATTTCACCTCTGTAAATGCATGACCTTTAGGTCACGTAATATCCCCTACCATTTGTGAAGTATTTAGCATGATGGCATTCAGATCTTCGTTCTTTCTACAAGGCTTACTATAATGAAAATAACATGAATATTTTTAGAAAAAAAAACCTCAGATAAAAGAATAGATGCACTGGCTCCTTCTTTCTTCTGTTCTACAGAATTTCTTCAAAATAAAGGTGTTTATAGATAAGTAAGTCCCTTGCATATAACTTTTATATGAGAACACAGTCAATGGCTAAGATTTACATAAAATCTATTTACAGTGATCATTGTAATGGAGATACTCCCAGCCCTTGAAGAAGCCCTTTTCCTTTCTCAGCAATAGATCCTGAGCCAGAAATGTATGTTGACATCAGCTATGATGAAGGTTCACAACCAACAATTTAAGATCAGTATTTGATTAGTATGGAATTAGCAAACTATTAACAAAAGTATACTTTTACAGATAAAGCATTGACTTTTTACCAACATGACCGGGAACTGCTTTTAGA